TGCACTGGGTTAGCTGGCCAATCAGAGCAGACTGTGCTTGTCAAAGGAGGGGGCTTTGTTGAAAACTACGCGTTTGAGAGAGGCGGGGCATAGAGGACCTACAATAATGTACAGTATTTGAAAAATAATGTGTTTTTTGAACATTAAAGCATGTCAACATATTCTGTTACACCAAATACACAAAATAATGATCTTTAAAATAGCATCATATGATCCCTTTAATATTGTTGTGGGATTTTTTTTTATTTGAAATAGACATTATATATATAATAATAACATTATACATATCTCTACTGCCACTTTTGATTATCTTAATACTTAAAAATATTAATTTATTTCAAAAAACTAATTTTATTGACCCCAAACTTTTGAACAGAAGTTTACATTTTCATTGAACATATTTGTTTTTGTAGCATTTGAAGAAAGGGGTGGTAAGAGTTCTCCGGCTCTCCGCTCTGCTTTGTCTGGTGCCAGCTCATTGGATGGAATGGTCTATGAGGAAGACTTTGTTTCCTCTCTCGCCAGTAGCCAATCAGCATCCAAGAGAAGTCCCAATGGGCTCAGGTAAAACAAAATAGTTTTAATGCTCAATAGATCACTACCTTGTATATTCCAAATATTTTTATAATTGGAAATAATGATCTTTAAAATAGCATCATATGACCCCTTTAATATTGTTGTGGGATTTTTTTTAATTTGAAATAGACATTTTATATATAATAATAACATTATACATATCTCTACTGCCACTTTTGATTATCTTAATACTTAAAAATATTAATTTATTTCAAAAAACTAATTTTATTGACCCCAAACTTTTGAACAGAAGTTTACATTTTCATTGAACATATTTGTTTTTGTAGCATTTGAAGAAAGGGGTGGTAAGAGTTCTCCGGCTCTCCGCTCTGCTTTGTCTGGTGCCAGCTCATTGGATGGAATGGTCTATGAGGAAGACTTTGTTTCCTCTCTCGCCAGTAGCCAATCAGCATCCAAGAGAAGTCCCAATGGGCTCAGGTAAAACAAAATAGTTTTAATGCTCAATAGATCACTACCTTGTATATTCCAAATATTTTTATAATTGGAAAAAAGGCTGAAGTAAACACAAAATGTCTAGTATTCAGCCTGAAGAGGGCAGTGTTGCTCTATAATCATACCATCCTTCAGATTTCACGTGCTCCATGTAGAATCATATACATACGGATAAACTCTGATGCCTTCTCTCCACAGTAATGGCCACGGTCGGTTCAGTCCTCCAGATGAGGTGCTAAGTGTTAGATCTGCATACAGTAACAGAGCTGGGGCGAGATCTCAACATTCACCAGCTCTTACACCCCTCTCCTCTCCACACTCAGCCAGCTCAAGCAGCAAGAGAGGTCAGATATGTTATAGAGGTTCACATCATGTGATCTTGAGTGTAGTACAGTGTGAAATCCATTTCTGTGCTCCGTGTACATTCCTATAGGGATATATCAGAAGTACTGGTACATAAACACCAGTATATTTGTAGAATCAGCAATACTGACTGAATTTTACTTATGTTGGTTGTGAACACTGACATTTTTGTATCATGATTACATTCCTAATTTCATCTGTGTACATTCCTACAGCTTCAGAAAGGAGCTTGCTGGAGGGACAAAGAAACACATCCTCTGCAGTCTCTGATCTCCCTGCTGAGGGTTTTAAGAAGAGCGGCTCAGAGAAAGCATCCAGTCGCAGCTCTCACAGGAGCGTGGACACAGACAGCACACTGGGGGGTGTCTCAGTCCACTCCATCCATAGGTAAGGCCTGGTAAACACATTAACTCACACTGGTAAAATGTAAACCTTGACGCAATGGTAGGTCTAACAAAAGCATCTGAACAGTCTGTTGCATGTATCTTCATTGCATTTTTAACGTTGGCATAGTTGAAGTTTTAAAAAGAGAAAAGCTTTGATTTTGATTTACTAGTACAGTCATCTTTCATTGCCATTCTACTAGTCTGCATGTCACCGGACATGAACTCGGACATTTTGAGCACAGAACGTAAATATCTTTAAACGCAATATCCATGCTGTTCCTGTTTATCATAATTATTAGAACCCAGAGGAGCCAATGTCAGTATTAGTTCTGCTATATGTCAGGTGGAGGGTATAAGTGTTCAGCCTGCTGTAGTTTTTCAGAAAGCGAGACGGGAGGCAACATGCACATTCACACTGGTTCTTTTGTTCAGTAGGTTAGCTGTGCTGCAGGTCAGGCTCATTGCCAATGAGATATTTCCCCCTAGTGTGACATTCGAGCCTCCCTGTGGCATTTGTTGAAGCCTGCGAGTCAGATTCCCCTCATGCCTACCCGTGTTTTCAGCTGTATCTTCCAGAGATGTGGTCTCTGGATGGGTTTATACAGCAGCAGAGAGTTTTAACTGGATTAACATACGTTTAAGGGATACTCCCATCATCGGCGCACTTCTTGGACATTATTTCCAGCTACAGTAGCACAAAGACCTTATTGTTAAGAGATACTGGACTATTGGAAGTTTTGGTTGTTACAGTAGAGTGGTGTGCACCATTCAGCTCAACCTGTTAGCTTGTACCATATTTTTTATCTTATTAGTATTTTTAGCTCAAAAAGTTTACCTTTTAGATTAATTTTCAATTAGAAAATGTTGTTAAATAATCTATGTGAAGTTGGTTTGTTTATTAAAACAAATAACAAAATAACAAAAATGTATCAATACAAAATCAAATATATACAGCTATTAAAATGTATTGCTTTTTTAAATAATGTTGTTATCATTATTCTCAATAATATTAATAATAAACTTTTTTTTTTCAAAACTAGCTTATTGACCCCAACTACTACTACTAATATTGTTAATATTTATTCTTCTTATTATTATTAATTATTTTTATTTCCCTGTTTTGTTTCATTAGTCATTTTGGCTCTGAGGGAAAGAAATCTCCCCAAAGCGCTCGTACAACTCCTGCCGCTGGTTCTCCAGCCAGCTCTGGTTCTTCCCGGTTGTCTCCAGGTGACAGTATCCCAATCAGAGGGTCTGCCCAGGGGTCAGGTTCCCCTCACGCAGCTCTGCCCAGTTCCTCCTCATCAGCTGACAGGGCTAAATCCAACCCCTCACCCCATACTCAAAGCCCAGGAAGAACAGAGCACAGGACTGCAGGTAAACTGACTGTCTAGATTTTTGTCTAACTTGTAAGCAACTGCAATTCTAAAGAAGTCTGCTGTGATGGAAAAAGAATTTCAGTTCAGGAATGGAATTGGTTTACTTGCTCTTCTATGTGTCCCCAGGTTCAGCAGAGCTCCAGTTTGCTCCTGGGGTCCTCCAGCAGCGCCTGTCTGCTGAGCTCAGTTACCTGGATGCAGTGGAGGAGTCAGTGCGACAGCTCGGTAATGTGGAGCGAGTGAGAGGCGTGTCTCTCGCTCAGCAGGAAACTGTCTCGCTCGCTCAGATTCTCAAGGTGAAGTTATGCACCTGCTAAAGTGATTATCTGACCTGCTGTGGTCATGTGGCCATGTATTTGAGGGTGACCTTTAACCCGCGTCTCTTGCAGTCTCAGCAACAGAGGCATGAGCGTGAACTGTACTTGCTAAGGATGAAGGCAGAGCAAGAAGCCCTCGAAACACAACGGCAACTGGAAGAAAGCAGACAGAAAGCTGCACAGGTATTTGCACCAATTTGTTAATAGTTTAGGATCTTTTGTTGAGGACATTTCATGTCAGTTTGATTTGTTTGTTTCATTTGAAAGCTGTTTGTATGATAGGTGCGCTCTGGTATACTGGTATTCTGGTATGTATATATTTTTTAACAGTACTGAACGAGTTTGCATGTATAAATAGATCTACAACAGGGGTGGCCAACTTTGGCCATGGAGAGCCTGCAGAGTATTGCTCAAACCCTAATCAAACATACCTGAACAAGCTAATCTGTGTTTAAGGGTTAATAAAAAGCTACAAGGTAGGTTGGTTTTTGTCAAGGTTGGAGCAAAACTCTCCAGAACTGACATTGACCACCCCTGATCTACGAGGGAAGGATGATGAAATCAAAATCTGATTCAGACCAAGTTAAAAATGGCAGCTTTAGTTAAATGATTTGCATGTTTTTATAAACGGATACTTGTGTTGGATTCAAGGCCCATGCAGAGCTGCAAGAGGGTTTACTCCAGTCTCAACGGCAGGCTTTAGGAGGTTTGCACGAGGCCACAAACAAAATGATAAACCAGCAGGTTGAGGCTGCATGCCACACAGCTGAAACGGCACAACACATTAAAGAGGTGAGCTTTTTTCCCCCAAATAATTCTGGATTGAGTCACTGAAAATCTAATTTTATTTCTAAATATAATTACCAATAATTATGATTGTTTTAAGAAGCATAAACTGGACAGAACAGATAGAAGGGTTATTATTAAATAAGCTAAACATATTAAAAACTATTTTGTTAATTGAAATAAAGGAAAATTAAAATACAAGTATAAAATGAAAAACTTTTTAGACAATTAGAAATTAAGTTAACTGGAAATAAAAGCTGAACGAAAACCTAAACAGTAAAAAAAGAATAATAAATACATTAAAAAAACAGGCACAAAACAAAAATATTAAAAGTTTAACAAAAATTGTCAGCTTTTTTTAAATTTTATTTTTATAAAAGCTTAAAACTAATTCAAAATATTTATAAATGCTCTAATAGTATATAAATAATACTAGAATAATACTAGATAGAAATTCCATTCATTTATTTCTATTGGTGGATCACAGTTGACAATATGGCTTGTATGTAGAGTCTTTTTACAGTATTTGGACAAATTTTTGTAATTAAATCTTGACTCAATGAAAATAAATGATGAAATGCCTAAAGATTCTCAGTCCTACTAAATATCTAATACACAAACTCTTGGGTATTTAATTGTATGCTAGAAAACCCCCAAAAGTTTAGAAACAAGATTACATGCTTATCTTCTCAGAGTGTAAAGTATCCTCCCTCAAGGCACGGTGGCTCTTTCTTTAAAGTCAGCTTAAAGAATTAAAAGTGTATTTGACCGTCTCTCTCTCTCTCTCTCCCTATAGATGACTGAGCTGGCTCGTTCACAGATTGCAGGAGCGTTAAGTGTTCCTGGCCCCTCCATTATGACCCTGTATGATCAACAGAAACAGCACAAACGCGGTTTGAAACCGCAGCAGCCACACCCCCACACTAACAGGTAACTCACTCACCTCAGACATGGCCATTCACTATTCTGATTCTTCTTCCTGAACCATGCTTCAGCTTCACTTAAGCATAAAAGCCAGATAATGTTCTGCATTAAAGGAATAATTCATCGGGAAATTAAAATCTATCATTATTTCGTGTTGTTCCAAACATTGGATCTTATGTGAAAGTTTGAATATGCAAAAGTGCAGATGAGAAATGAGAGCCACGGCAGGGGATTTGGAACAACATGGAGATGAGTAAATCATAATGGTATTTTTATTTTTTGGATGAACTGTCCTTTTAACCATGTTTTCACTTTCCATTTTCTAATGTGGAAGATTTTTTCAAATTTGTCATGTTAGTGACCGTGATCTATACATCAGTAATGATGCTGTTTTGGATCTTCTCCAGTAGCTGGATGAGTGAGCTGTCTCCTGAGAGACGTACGAGTCCATCAGAGGTCGAGACTCCACCAGACAGCCTCTCAGAGTCCATCCCTTCCAGGAGACCCACCATCAGGTAACGCCATGTACTTTTCATTTTAGCCAATTTTTCTTTTACAGCACAAATGAATGGTTTTATAGAACATAGTGTGTAAATGCTGATCTCTCTGTTTTTAAGTGGTGGTGGAAGCAGTAGTACCCAACTGAGTCCACCTCGTTCTGATCAAAAGGAGAGGAAGACACCAGGAAAAGACAGGAGCAGTAGTTCAGTGGAGGACCAGGCTCACACCACTGCCGATGACTCCCTTTGCTCGGACAATGTGCGAAGCCCACTTGAAGAGAAAGGTAAAGCTCACATTTTTTGGGGCAAGCAACTTAAATAGTCTGTCCTGAGAAATGTGAGCTGTTTTGACCACTTCCTGTCTATTCCTCCAATCAGCGGACAGTGCCTCCATCACCACAGAGTACTCTGTGAAGTTTGATGACTCTATGACAGAGGATGACATTGAGGAAAGATCGTTCCGCTCTCTTTTACCATCTGAGGCCCACCGACGCGAATCGCTGGACAGGAGGCCCAGTCCTCATCCCGACTCTGATGACGACCACAGCCATGACAGATCCAGCCCCAGAGCGAGCTCAAAGGTGACATCCTGTCAGCTCTCCTCATGCAGCATAACTCTGACCCCAGTTGTGTTCAGTACAAACAAGCCTGTTGTGTTTTGTTCTATTTGGTTGTCATAGTTGGAGTTTGTTTGTGTTTTCCTGGTGTGTTGATAAGAAGCTCTTTGTATGGGATGGATAAGTGACTCAGCTCTTGTTTTTCCCCTGCAACCATATCACGTTATACACAGCAGGATGGCAGCATGCCCTTCTCAAGTGGTCAGGACAGCTTCTCGAAGTTCACCATGGATTTGGTGAGTCAGTACATGAAGGAGGAGGAAGTTCGCGCTCAACACCAGAATTCTCTGCTGCGTCTGCGTCAGAAGGCCCTCCGAGAGAAGACCAAGGCTGAACTGGCCTGGCTGGAACACCAGAAGAGGCAGGACAAACATTCATTAACATGAAATCAAAATGGACCATATTTTCTTTCTTAATAATTGCTCTGGTTTATATTAGTATTATTCAAAAATGCAAATTTTCAAAAGAAAAAAATAAGGTTTGTTTAAACTTTCACTAAAATGTAATAACATTCATTGCCTCTGAAATGAATGACTGTTCTTGTAATCAAGGTTGCACAGGTCGGGAGAAAATAATAATTTGTCTCACCCTAAATTTTCCACGCTATATTCCCTGCTTGGTAACTCCATATATACACAACTGTTCAAAAGCATCAGTAATCGGAAAAGGGGAAAAGGGGAAGTCGTGGCCTAATGGTTAGAGAGTCGGACTCATAACCCAAAGGTTGTGGGTTCGAGTCTCGTACCGGCAGGGATTGTAGGTGGGGGGAGTGAATGTACAGCGCTCTCTCCCACCTTCAATACCACGACTGAGGTGCCCTTGAGCAAGGCACTGAACCCCCAACTGCTCCCCGGGCGCCGCAGCATAAATGGCTGCCCACTGCTCCGGGTGTGTGTGTGTTCACTGCTGTGTGTGTGCACTTTGGATGGGATAAATGCAGAGCACTAATTCCGAGTATGGGTCACCATACTTGGCCACATGTCACGTCACTTTTTTTAAAAAAAAAATTTTTTAATATTATTATTAATGTTTTTGAAAGAAGTGTCCTGTTCATGAAGGCTCCAATTATTTAAGAAATCATTCTAATATGCTGATTTGGTGCTCAATAAATATGTCACGTCACTTTTTAAAAAAAAATTTTTTTTTTATATTATTATTAATGTTTTTGAAAGAAGTGTCCTGTTCATGAAGGCTCCAATTATTTAAGAAATCATTCTAATATGCTGATTTGGTGCTCAATAAATATTTATTATTGTCAATGTTAAAATTATTGTGCTTTCTAAACCATAATATTTTTTTTCAGGATTCTTTGAAGAATATACTGTTCAAAAGAACAGCATTTATTTAAAATATAAATCTTTTGTAATCTTTTGTTAAATGATTTTACTGTTACTTTTGATCAATTTAATTGTATATTTGATCAATTTAATTGAATAAAAAAAATCTGTCCCCAAACTTTTGAACAGCGATGTACGTCTCATAACTGAAATTAAATATGTTGTGGTATGTTTTGGTCAAGTTGCACCATTTTTTTGTAAGTTAAATCTCATATGTTGAAATAGAACTCCATACATTTAAAGGCAATAGTATGATCAGCTTGATTAACATTGTTGAACTGTAGTGACATGCTCCTCATCTTCTTTCTTCTCCACTAGGCGTCTCAGAGATAAAGGAGAGGATGATAAGATGCCACCCCTTCGTAAGAAACAGAGAGGCTTAATACTGAAGCTACAACAGGAACAGGTGACATTCATATGTGGATTTACGAGATGATCTATTAGCTACACTTGCAAATTAATGTATAATAAATTAAATAGTCATGAATTAATTAAATGTTGTCATGTTTAAAGGCTAAAATGTTGCTGTGTTGTTTATCCCCAGGCGGAGATCAAACGACTGCAGGAGGCCAATAAAGCAGCGAGGAGGGAGAGACAGCTGCTCCTCAAACAGCAGGAGGAGATTGAAAGAATGAGGCACACAACACTCAAACTCAAAGAGCGGCTCAAAAGCGCCGACACAAAGCTGGTCAGTCCTCTGAAAGATTGTGGTTTCTTAATCTTCCTAAATAAAAGCTTTTTTGTATCTTGTAAGTACTCTATATGTAGTGTATTGAACATATCGCACTTTTTTTTTAATGAAACATCTGCAGGAATCACCTGTTTCAAGTGTGGCGGAGGAGTCTGCTCCGCCCAGCGTGATTGTGACAGATGCAGAGACCCGTAGCCCCTCCCCCATGTCTGTGTCGGGCAGTGAAACCAGTAGCATCATGCAGAAACTGAAAAAGATGCGGTCTCACATGGACGAAAAGTAAATAAACCCTCATGCATGTTTCTTTTCTAGCCTTCCATCTTTTCCCTCTTCTGTCCTCTCAAATAATGCATTGGTTTGTAAAGTCATTTGATTATATTAACCAAACTTTAATGACCTTATCAGAATCAGAATCAGAATGAGCTTTATTGCCAGGTATGTTTACACATACGAGGAATTTGTTTTCGTGACAGAAGCTTCCACAGTGTAACAGAATGACAGTGACAGAACAAAAAACAATATGTTATGTTGTGCAAACCTCTTTCAAGAAGGCCAAACAAACAATGAATGTTTAATGTACTCAGGAGCGATTTCTTATTTATGACTAGCTAATGCTACTAATAACATGTATTCATTTCTTCGAGGTTCGTCTACAGCTTGCTGACCATGTGACATTTTAAAGTGTTTATTTCTTATTATTTATTTCTGTGTGCACAGTGTTTGGTTTGAACATAAGCGTGCTCTGTGTAGGAAAACACCCCTCTCCCTTTATGAAAGGAGGAATCTTTCACATCTAAAATAGTGAACAGCTTCCTTATGCCACTAGTAAACAGGATGTACATTCTGCCAGTGAGATTTCTGAAACAATCTGCAGGTCATTGAGGTTTCTCTAATGCGTTTCATGACCTCCACATGTTTTCTAAATGCTTTGTCTATTGTGTGTAATGTCATTCTCCCATATTCAGCCACTCAATCCTTGACAACAGGTTCTTGTTTACAATCATATATTGACAACTGGTGAGGGTCGTCCAATTGGTCAGAAACTTTTCATAGCACTGACACAAATATTTTTGTCCTGAGAATAAAATTTGTACACAGAGGGAAGGGGATTTCACGCTTGTCTGATTCAACTAATCACATGCTGTGTTGTGATTGTAGCACCGTTCACACACTTCTGCTCACTTTCTAGCTCTCACTAATAGCATGATGATCTCTTTTGTATAACTTCCAGCTGTATTTATTCTGTACTCATCGGTATAATCACTTTATCCTGCATCTCATTCAAAGTGATTTGTAATCCAGTCTAGGCAGCTCTTTTTTTAAAAGCAAAGATAATTGTGATTTGCATTGTCGTCTTCCCTTTATTTAGTTCATTTAATATATTAATGTATTTACCCTCTTATCACAGCAAAATTTGCAGAATAACTCCCTTGACATGCCTGCATAGAGAAACAACTTGTTAATTTCACAAAGAAATGTCTGGGTCATAGATCTACAGCATAAACAGTTGTTAAAAAAAAAAAAATTTGAAATCAGCATAAATGAATTCATACTACCATTATGTATATTCACAGGTGTTCATAACAAACATACTTATGAATAATTCTGTTTAAAAAAATTATTTTTATTGCACTACTACTTTTTTGTTCACTTAAGGTACTTAGAATTGAACTTTAATTGTGTCAGTCCAAAAAATCTTAACAGTCCTAAATATTATTTTAATTTTGGGAAGACACGGGTGTTTCTGATAATTTTGTGAGACTCTCCAGACTGCTGTTTGGGGCAGATAAATGTTTCCAGGCCACTTTTCCAGAAAAGCTTGTAATTACCAAGACCTTTCATCTTACTCGTAAACTTTTTTTTTTTGACTTGTTTGTAAGTATGACACTCAAAGGTAGTGGCTTGTTAAGGATTTGCAGCATGTAGTTAACCGCTAAAAGTCAATAACTGGTTGATGTGTTTGTTGCACAGTAGCTAGAGAAAAATAAGGATACACATGTTTACACTCAATCTCTCTTTCTGTCTCCATATCTGTGTTTCTTATGTCTCTCTATCTCTTTCTCTCTCTACTCTTTTATTATTTCATTCTCTCCAACACTGTTCTTCTTGATTTTTGACTGTCCTCTCCTCTGCTTCTTCCTTAGACACTGTTCTCCTGTCCATTATTTCTTCTCTGTCTTTACGGCTCATCACTGGGCCTCTCTGTCTGTCTGTCTCCCAAAACTCCACCCCAAATTCCAGCTCTTTATCTACAGCCAGTTGGTCAGGTACAGTTACCCACAATCCTCCTCTCTCTTCTCGTCCCTCCCTCCTCCCCTCTCTCAGCACCTATTTCCCATGGAGCATGCTTTTGTTCATCCACTACCACAGCTGGGTTGGTGGGGATAAAAACAGAAAGAGGAATGCAGTGATGAATGGATGGATGAAAAAGTACTGGCTACACCATTCTAAAATGAGCTGATTCTTTGGCTAAAGCTAGTTTGATATTAAGCGTAGTTATTTATCTGACTGGGGAAGATTATTTTTATTTCTATGATTAAATGATTTACCAAAAAATTATTTATCCGTTGTGATTGGTTTTTGAGCCTTTATTTGCTGATCAAATACAGGTAAATGTTTTGAAAATAATTACCCTCAATCTCAAAGCCAAAGATTAGACTTGTTTAAATCATGGTGGGTTAAATGAGTGATTTCTGGGTCTTACGTCTTTTGTCTCTGTGGTGTGATCCTGTCAAATCCAGTCTTTGCCTTGTTGCTAGTCTGTTTTGTATTAATATGTAAATGTAATTTATTTATGGTGAATCTCACGAAAACATGTCTACATTTTACATTAAATTCAAGGGGGAAAAATAAAAGTCTATTTTGCATACATGAAGACTGTTTATGAGCATCAACTTTACAAGAAATTGTAAAGTGACCATCAAATTATACAAGAAAATGTATACCTCTAAATGTTCATTCCTGTAATGCAACAAAATTATTTTTACATGATTTCTTATTAATTTTTATGTTGTAATGTTTCATTTATATTTTTATGGTCATTATACTCTCATTAATGTAATATAAAAATATTTAATATTAACATTTATTTAAATTTATATTATTTGCATTACAGAAATAAGAGGGGTTGAATTATTTAGTAAGTTAATTGTCATGAAAATCACAATGTAAATAATCTTAAATATAGGGATTATTGTCTTTTTGAAAAATATACTTTTTTTCTGATTTGTTGTGAAATACAACCCCAACAACTTTCGTGAGCTTCAACCATGCACCACACACAAAGCGTCTCCGTTAAATCAGTTCTTGAACTTTGTATCGTGGTGAGTGGAGACCGGGAGGAATATCTCTTTTCAGACAGGCCGGGCAGACTGATATATTGTATGCTTCTGAATAATGCTAGTTTAGGACTTCTTCATCTGCCCAATGGCCACAGTAAATCTTAACTCCAGCCCCTGATTAAATAAGTGTAGCCCGCGATGAGCTAATGAGTATATATGACTGAGGCAACATAATACAATTTATGGTTAGATGAAGATGGCCGCTGTATTCACGAGGCAAGACGATTGCTTTTAGATAAAGCCATCTGTTTTTCTCTAACATGTTTTTAATTATCTTAAACCTCAATGAAAAAGCCAGGCGGGTTTGATCTAGCAGACCAAAGTCATGATACATGGAGGTCTTTTTTCTGAAAAAATAATGACCTGCCTTCAGTGAAGCACAAGTTTTTACCTGGCACAGCTTGCTAAAATGATAAATATGCTTGTAATATTCAGTACAGCTTGTGAAATTCTAATTCTTCAAATTTCACTTTAATGTGCTTTATCTTGTCTAAAATCTATACATTTGTATTGCCAAAGCCTTATTTATATATATATATATTTTTGTTTTTTTTCTGAAAGCAAATGCACAATCAAATAATTCCATTGCAGGATTGCACTTACAGAGACAAAAGCCTATCACTGTTTGTCAAAACCCTGGGTGGAACCTACGTGTTTCAGTTTGTCAGGAGTTTGTCTCCATGTGTGTCACCCATGAGTTGTATCAGATGCATGAGTTTTACCCTGATAAGGATATTAAAGGCACAATAGGGCTATTTTTCCCATTAAAATTAATGCGGGTCACCAAGTGGAGCCGTGCCTGTTTTGGGAAGCATGTTTTGGAGTGTGAATGTGTGTGTGTGTTTATGAGGGTTTGTGTGGGTGCACATCCTTTGCAAAAGAGACTAATCTGGTGTTTGAAGAAGGTGGGTGAGTGGCATTATTTGGACCTCTGCTTTGCCTGCTTTTGTTGGTGGTCTGTCTACAAATTGTGTCACTTTGCTTTACACAATCTTGTTCTCCCTTTTTCTGCCTTTTCTATCTCTCTTTGTCTCCTTCACTCTCTGTCTTGTAGGTTTCTCACTAAAAGGGAGCAGCAGTTAATGCAGAGGCGCAGACATGCGGAGGAGCTTCTTGAGTGGAGACAGCGGTTGGATGCGGAGGAGGCCGAAGTGCGCCACATGGAGAAACAAGCTCTGGCGGCCTGGGAAAAACAGCAGCAGTCACGCAACAGAACACCACTGCAGCAGCGCAGCCGGGAAAGTGAGCGCAGTAAAACCAGCGGTGGACAAGAGAGTCCCACAGGACAAGGTGAAGAGTGTGAAAAAGGTATTGAGATGGAAAGGAAGTGATATTGAAAGTATTCTTCTAATGCACGGCCGGTATATGCACATCAGTAACCGCAGATCAGTTGTACTCCATCTATACTTCTGTTCAAAAGAAATTATACCTTTATTTGGCAAGAACACATTAAATTGATCAAAAGTGACAGTAAAGACATAAAAGATTTCTATAGCAATAATTGCTGTTCTTTTAAAATTTCTATTCATTCTTGAAAAATGTATCAAGGTTTCTACAAAAATATTACATAGCATTAAGCAGCACAGCTGTTTTCAATGATAATAATGAAAAATGTTTCTTGAGAGCTAAATCAGCATATTAAAATGATTTCAGAAGGAACATGTGACAGAAGACTGGAGTTATGACTGCTGAAAATTCAGCTTTGCCATCACAGAAATAATTTTTTTAAATATATTAAAATAGAAAAGTTATTTTAATTTGTAATAATATTTCACACTGTTAGTGTGGTACTGTATTTTTACTCAAACAAATACACCATCTTACCTACCCCAGATTTTTAAATGTTAGCTAGTTTTGTAAGTCAGTGTATAAGAACGTCAAAGCAATGATTATGAATTGAACTGTTACATTTTGTGTATCTGTATGCATGCTCTCACAGAAGCAGGCAGCGAAGATGATGACTCCCCAGCATTGTCTGTGTCCAGCGTGCACACTGATTTGTCAGTTCTAGAGCAGCTGGCCAGCCCTTCCTCAGACCAACCTGTCTCTGAGCTACACTCTCCTCATACGGGCAACAGCCCTGCCCCTGATACCCTCTACTCACCTGAGTTTAATGCCACAGACAGCAAACAGGTGAAAACTGAAACTATACATAGAGCGACACTGAGTTTTGTAAAAAAAGAAAAAAAAAGTGTTTAATTCTGCATCTAATGTTTATGTGTTCGAGTTACAAGTAGTCCAAAGTTGTTTATGTGCTGTTTCATTAAACAGGGTTGATTATAGCTCTCTTTGGTGAGTGTGATTTACATGTCCTGACCTTGGATCCCTCTTCCTGTATGTGTTGCAGTCTCCTCCAGAGAAAGCCAACCTCAGCTCTCTTCAGCATTCAGACAGTAGCCTGCCTGGGACTGTCACTGGCACTAGCGGAAGCAGCAAGATGCAGGTGCGCTCCAGCTCCAAGACCAGTGAGGCCTGCACCAGTGACCCTCATTCGGCCACTCCTTCCGGTAAGATCCTTGCTGCCCCCATTAGACTTTGAAAATTATCTGGATTTGCTCTATCAACGTAATGTAGACTTTTTTTTTTTTTGAAGACTGCAGCATATAGAATAGTTTCATGTAGCATTTTGCTCTTAATCCATTTTATCCTTGGTCTTTTTTTTTTTTTTTACTTAATTTATTTATTTTTCAAATCATAGTTCTTAAGGTGCTACGTACCTGGTATGTTAATTTAGCCTGCTCCAGTTTATCCTTTACATCATTTCTAAATTGGATATGTGAATGCAGGAAGAGGAACACTGTGCCAGCAAAATATAATGCTCTGTTTATCTCTGTGTGCACTTCTCTGGATCAAACCACTTAGTCATGTTATAGCAGCACAGATGAGTCTACCTGCCTTATACAGATGATCTGTCTTAAAAGAGAGACTGTGCTAAAAGAAATTGTGCTTCTTTTAAGTTTAAAACATTGCCTATCTTTATTATTTAAATGTTGTACTTTGTCACAATGTTTAGTGCCATCTTAAGCATTTTTTTTTTTTAAAGCAAAGACAATGTTTTGACACTGGTTTTTTTATTTTTTATTTTTTATTTTTTTGTTCTCTTACCTCAGAGACCACATCTGATCAGAGTGATATTGAGAGCCGTATTCATGCCCTCAAGGACGAGCTCCGTAAACGCAAATCTGTGGTGTATCAGCTAAAGAAAGAGCAAAAGAAGAGGCAAAAAGAGCGACTGAAAGCTCAGGAGGCGAGTCTGCTGAAACAGTTGGAGGTCAGCCATCGTCTCCTTTCATATTCACCTATTTCTGTGTGCTGTTCATCTTAAAGAAAGCACTTGTCTTGCTGTATTATTTTGCTATATTTTTTAATTGGCTATAAAAAAAAATGTCAGTATGCTTTATTTGTTAATGTTTGTCTTCCTCTGGTTCCCCAGTCATATAATGATTTTATTCAGAAGACCAAGGCTGAGTTGAGTAAAGAGCCAGACAGCACTCCAGCTACTAAACCCCAGATTAAAACTCCCACGTCAGCCACTGAAAAGCCTCGGATAAAACCCCCTCCGCTTCAGAGGTCAGCCTTGACATTTACCAATCATTTTTAATTTACTCTTCATTCTGATTTTTTTTTTTTTGGTATACTTCACATAACATTTGATGCATGGTTACTTTACAGGCCTGAGACTAGCAAGAACTGGAAGATCGTCACAGAATCTGAGAAATCAGAGACTGTGCCCACGGAGACATCAGCAGATAAAGGTGCAATGCCTTTTAGACTAAAAACATGATTATTGGCATTAACAATATTGATTTAGACCAAATTAAAAGTATACATAATGTTAAAATTGTGTATGTTGCCTGCCTTTGTTAGCAGATGATGTTGCACCATCAAGACTTCATAAGTATTCATCAGAACATGATGAATTCACCCCGCCGGACAAGATCTCTCGTCTTCCAGAGAAATTTGAGGCCAGTGCAGACACTGAAGATGAAGATTCATCATGTGATGACCAGCCAAATAGTAAAAACAAAGGTTCTGAGAAGCAGTTAGAGCACAGAAATCTGCTAAACAAAATTAAAGGAGAAAAATCTGACCTAGATTTGCATCCTGAGACTAGAGAGCCTTTGGATGAGCATGAAAAGCCATTGGAAATTAACATCAAACAACTTTCCACTGGGCAAAGCACCTTTTTTAAATCTCAGCATAACCTGGATTTTAATGATATTGACTGCAATATCATTAAGGACTGTGACAAAAGTCAGCACACAGTGCCTAACGGCAGAGACAGGGACATTCTCAAATTCGAGGACACATCTGTTGATAATGTTGTTCCATTGCTCAATAATTTAGATAAAGGTACATCCAAAAAACAAAAGCAGGAAGAGGAACCAACAGCAGTCATTTTGGACTTGTTGGTTGAGGATAAGAAGTCCAGAGTTGATGGTCTTCCGAAAACCACTGACATCTCAATCGAGGAGGCCAGTCTCGATAATAGAGAAGACTTGAATAACAAAAGGGCTTTGACTATCCTAGCAGATAAACTTGTGGAAAACTTCTTAAGTGATGCGGTGAAGCAATTTCAGAAGATCAAGAAAGACAAAGAGGAGAAGTTATCAGCTGCTAACCAGTTCAAAAGAGACTTCATCAATGAAGATGATGGACTTGGAAGCAACAACTTTAAGTCTCAGAGCAGGTCTTCATCTAAAACAAAGACGGACAGTTTCCACACCTTCTTTGATGATGATCAGGAGGAACTTTCATCTCCAGAGCATTGCAACAGACCTGTAAGTGACCATTTTGATTTATCTAAAGATCCTATAATAGATGAAATGAGAAACCAGTTAAAAATAACCCAGTCTTCAAAGTTATTTATTGAAATTAAGTGAATGATTTACCCAACAAGCTGATAACATTGCTGATGTGTAATGCTTAAGTTGACATTTCCAGCTGTATTGACAGACATCTAGGGGCTGATGTTACCTTGGAACCCTCTTTTTAGGCCTGCAGTGTGTTGCAAAGTTCAAAAAGAGAATGTAAAGATAAATCAGATATTCTCTTGATGGAAGTTGCAAGAGGTGATCTTGATTAGTGTTAACTATGCTTCTTCAACAGGAGAGCCCTGTCCTGGGTACGAGTGGACAGGAAGAGCTAACTAAACGTCTGGCGGAGCTAGAACTGAGCCGTGAGCTCTTCGATGTCCTTGGTGACGAGCAGGACTGGTTCGATGAGGACTTTGGTCTCAGCTCACGAAAACAACAGCAGAAGCAAAAACATCAACAGCAGCAAGATGGGATTTCTAGCTCCTTGAGTTTGGGTGCGGGGGAACAGGTCATAACACCGCCCAGGCCTGAACTTCCCGTGCAGATGAAGCAACCAGAGGAGCCTGCCATGATTGTTCCTCACACTGTCCAGGAGGTGGAGAAACTGGTCATCGCTGCTACTCAGGAGATCTGGAAAAGCTGCAAACTGGGTTATGGTAGACCAAGCCTGACTGGAGTAGCCAAACCTCAACCCTCTAATATTTTCCTGGAAGGAGACTCCAAAACCAATGACCTGGAGGCTCAATGCCAACAAAGCTACAAACTGGTAGGGATCGAGATGCTGACATTGATGTGTTTGTTTAACTGTGGCAAGGTTTTTGTAGGCATTTCCATGAAGATGAGTACAAATCTTTGCCGTTCTATTTATTTACAGGCCGTCTTTGATTTATCATGGGAGGTCATTCAAGACATCTATGCAGAAGATCCAAAAGTTGATCAGCCACAATGGATGAAGCCGCATCGCCTTAATTCCACCTACTTCCATCGGGTGAAATGCCCCAATGACATCACAACAGTCCAGGTATGCGAGATATCAATGCTGCTTTAAGGAAAGTGGCGTCTCATTATGCTGATTATTTTTATTCTATATTTTAATATACAGTGGGTACGGAAAGTATTCAGACCCCCTTAAATTTTTCACTCTTTGTTATATTGCAGCCATTTGCTAAAATCATTTAAGTTATTTTTTTTTCCTCATTAATGTACACACAGCACCCCATATTGACAGAAAAACACAGAATTGTTGACATCTTTGCAGATTTATTAAAAAAGAAAAACTGAAAAATGCTCAGTATTTAGTAGAAGCACCCTTTTGATCTAATACAGCCATGAGTCTTTTTGGGAAAAATGCAACAAGTTTTTCACACCTGGAATTGGGGATCCTCTGCCATTCCTCCTTGCAAATCCTCTCCAGTTCTGTCAGGTTGGACGGTAAACGTTGGTGGACAGCCATTTTTAGGTCTCTCCAGAGATGCTCAACTGGGTTTAAGTCAGGGCTCTGGCTGAGCCATTCAAGAACAGTCACAGAGTTGTTGTGAAGCCACTCCTTCGTTATTTTAGCTGTGTGCTTAGGGTCATTGTCTTGTTGGAAGGTAAACCTTAGTTCCAGTCTGAGGTCCTGAGCACTCTGGAGAAGGTTTTCGTCCAGGATATCCCTGTACTTGGCCGCATTCATCTTTCCCTCGATTGCAACCAGTCGTCCTGTCCCTGCAGCTGAAAAACACCCCCACAGCATGATGCTGCCACCACCATGCTTCACTGTTGGGACTGTATTGGACAGGTGCCTGGTTTTCTCCACACATACCGCTTAGAATTAAGGCCAAAAAGTTCTATCTTGGTCTCATCAGACCAGAGAATCTTATTTCTCACCATCTTGGAGTCCTTCAGGTGTTTTTTTAGCAAACTCCATGCCGGCTTTCATGTGTCTTGCACTGAGGAGAGGCTTCCGTCGGGCCACTCTGCCATAAAGCCCCGACTGGTGGAGGGCTGCAGTGATGGTTGACTTTCTACAACTTTCTCCCATCTCCCGACTGCATCTCTGGAGCTCAGCCACAGTGATCTTTGGGTTCTTCTTTAGTGTACATTAATGAGGGAAAAAAATTAACTTAAATGATTTTAGCAAATGGCTGCAATATAACAAAGAGTGAAAAATTGAAGGGGGTCTGAATACTTTCCGTACCCACTGTATATCATTTACGTATGTTTATTTGTGTGTATATATATATATTCTTTATTCAGGAATTTGTCACCACTGAGGTATTAAAGTTGTGTGGTCTAAAGAAAGAGCAGAACCAGAAAACAGACTGGCAGAAAATGATCAAATTTGGGCGGAAAAAGAGAGACAGAGTTGACCACATTCTGGTAAGTGTATTTAACCTCATATTCAGAATGCTGGTGTCTGAAATTGCAAAAATGTGTTGATTTATAGAATTTTTTAGACATTTAAATGCATAAGTCTATAATCACTCTTCCTCTTCTAGGTCCAGGAGTTGCATGAGGAAGAATCCCAGTGGGTGAACTATGATGAGGATGAACTTTTTGTAAAGATGCAGCTTGCTGATGGGATTTTTGATGCCTTGCTAAAAGACACAGCTGACGTTCTGACCCAAATCCAGGAGAAGAAGTCCAAAAGAACTCTGTGATGGTGTTCTCATCTGTACAGAGAAATGTTTTAGGTACCTTCTGTTAAACACAAAATGGAGGATTTGGCATAAAAGGACATTCAGTGAGGAATTCCCTTTCAGTCTGCTTGTGCAGGCCACGGAAAGTTGTGGATTCAGGATTCTAGACCTTGTCAGAGGTCTGACTTATCATGGAGATGTTCACATTCTCATCTAGGAAGCCTGATGAACTCGGCTCTTGATGGTCCGGTGTTAATTGTAGCAGCTGTTTGGGTCCAGATTCCCCATACTGTGTCTGTTCATCATTGCTGCTAAAACTGGCTCTGCCATTCTCAAGTCTCATGATTAAAACACAAGGGTCGGATCAAATCAGGACAGACCTAAGGATTTAAAAACTTGTTTTTATTTCCAATTAGATTGTATCATAAGAAACACTTGTTGTTTTTTTTCTTTAATTCTATTAATTTATTTTTTAAAAAGTAACATTTGAATTTGAAAGTAACATTGGAAAGTGTTTAAGGAAAAGATTATTTTACCATTGACATGATTAATTGCAGAACTAAGCACAATAAGTACAATTTGAATGTTGAAATGGCAATACAGTGTAAAGGGATTTGATGCAAGATAATGTTGAATGCAAAAATATGTCAATTATATTTAACTCTGCTTTTTGAAAGCAACAGGAAAACCTCTGGTAATGGTTTTGTTTTGGTCCATACACAACAATGTTGTATTGGCAACACCTGCTACAGTTACTGGATGCCAAAAGATTGAATTGAAATATATGAACTGTGCTAAACACGGACATGCTGGGTTCTAGCCTTAACATTTGCCTTTTATCCCATTCATTTTAAGTGCCTCCATTGTTGCGTTTGCTCACGCACGAGCGACTTTTCCCGGCCTTCCTTTGACCAGTGTTGTGACGGTCCCTTTTGGCTTTAATCTAGTCTTAACTTCTTTTTTCATAGCTGGACAAACCTCTAATACTGTAAGATGTACATTTCTGCCTTACTTTGTGCGTGTACCCATCATCAGAACCTTTTTAAAGTACATTTTTGTGTTTAAAAAAGACAAGTGGTAATGTTACGCTATCTCTGGCACAAGGACACATTTGTTTACTTTTAAAGAAGGCGTTTTACTCATTGTGTACCTTTCCGAGGAACTGCTCAAGGGCTCAGCACGTCCATCTCGTCTGTTATCCACGAATACTGTGATGCACATATTTTTTTTATAAATCAGTCGCCATTACAAGCCTGGTCTCATAAGAAACAGATTATCATCTTATGTGTATAATTAGCTGTAACCAGCCTTTCCTCACCTCTCTAAAAGCTGTACTTTCTGAGCCAGTCTGTCTGATAGTGACCTGCAGCATCATTGTGAGGTTAGATCTAGAGTATTGTGCCGTGTCCGTGGGTTAAACTTCATCTATGCAGCAACAGAGTCTCTGATACCAAGCATCAGTCGCTCGTCCAATAGCATGTCTAATTATATAGGTAACGGAGATCTCTACCTCGTTCTGAAAATAGGCTACTACTAATAGTCTTTTTGGCTAATGCGTTTAAACTTTTAACTGTGGGTGGGAAATTAGGATTTGTGTGGCACAAGTGGTTTGATAATCAGTTTCTACTTTTAAATTGGTAGGTCGTAGAAATGTTTCACATCTCGTAAGTGTATGTGTATTTATAATGATGTACTGTGAGTGACAGAGGTGCACTTGAAGACTTGTAAATTGTTTTACCCATGTAAATATCGTCGATGCCTATCTCCTGTGAGTGGAAGATTGCTGTGAAATTGGACGTGGTTCCTTTTGCTTCCATGTACATATTACAGATATATTTGTTAACTGAACTGATCCTTTGGAAATTGTAAATAAAGATCTCGTCATTTCTCAGTCATAACATTTGCTGTGATATCTTTTACATTTTTTTGTCATGACTTTTTATAATCAGAATGTACAAAATAGGGCCCTTTTTAACAAATGGTTAGTAAAAGATGTGCATGTCTAAATGCTGTTTAAACCCCAGTTTTATTATATATATACAAACACCTTTTAACATTTAAAACTGAAGCAGAATGACATTAAATATTAAGTTTTTGGTTGTTACACTTTGTTAACAGTGAATTGCATGTCAAATAACATTAGCATTTATGCCTTAGCTAATTTTTTCAAAAAAGAGAAACAAAAGTAATTTGCCAAGGAGCCAACAATATTCGTAATGTACAATTCTAGGTTTATTTGACTAGATTAGGAAGTGAGAGAAGAGGAGAAAGTGATCATGACATTGTATGATTTTAGTTGTTGGATACAGTCAAGCAAGTCCAGACCTCTGATGTGGGGGAGGGGGTAAACAGACATTTGATGTATAATTTTGTTAGATACTAGTTCAACACATTCAGCAGTTCTCACAATAAATAAATATCTGTGCCTCTGCTAATGGCACAGCAAAGTGTACTTTAATTGTGACATGTGCCTTGTGTAAAATGTTTAAATTTGGCCTTGGGTGTTATGTACCCAGTCAGAAACTTTGGACAAGAGGCACATACTCAATATGTCAATATTTGAGCAAAGGGTGATTCTGAACGAATGGATCAAGGTGTCAATACTGTCCTAGGAATTACCAAACCTACTCTGGTACATAAATCTAATAAAATCCAGAGATGTATTTCGTAGGTTGGAACAAATATATATACTAAAATTGTGTTATTTTTTAGTTATTTGTGGCAACAAAAAGATATTGATGAAAGGAATGAAAAAAATGGATCTGTCTGGGAATTTAGAGCATATGGTTTGAAATTTCAAAGGCTTGTGATAGATGTGATTACTTAATGTGATTAATTCAGCAAAAAAAAGTAGGCTATAGCTATGACATTTAGCATCCACATATCAATGAAAATAAGTAAACATATACAACCAGATATATCTATCTCCCTCCATGTTCAGTCTGTAAATAATACAACACTTGATTTTCTGTTGATTTTCTTTCTCCACATTTTGTAATTCATAACTTTAAAAAAAAAAACTGAAAATTTTGTTCGCGATGGAAATAACGCCACAACTCTGGGACGATTTTAATTTGTGTACAAATAGATAGAAATCATTTGAAAATTATAAAATGAAAGTGGTTTATATTTATCTCACTCTTTGTTGGGACTATTATAGTTTTAAACACAATTCATATAATAATTGGGCTTGGGACAAGATACAATTATTCAAATTAAACGTAAAAACCAACTGAACGTCATGGCATGGTAAAAGTTTTCAAGACAGTTTTAATGTGACCTTCATATAACAAAAAGAAAAATAGCCTATATATATTTTAATAAAAACAAACACTGGGACATAAAAGTTTAAGAAGTTTGAAAAAACACCCATATTGATGTGCTCTGCTGTGACTCCTGTGAGAGCTATTTGGAGTTCAAAGAGAGAGGGAGCTGTGTAGAGTTAAGTGGGAGGGAGTTGAACGTGTGACCAGTCGCTGTAAACTTTCTATCACTTTCTAATAGAGTTAGTTTAGTTGGAGCTGAAATAAGGGAAGATGGCGCGGCGGAGCTGCTGTGCCACGTCTTGTTACACGACAAAAACCCAATTAAATCCCTTTAACTCTTTCTTATGTGCTTTTATTTCTTTTATAAGTCTTAGTTCTTTAATCGCTGAAGCCGGGCTGTACACAGCGTCGGATCAGATAATTATTTTATCCCCGGAGAATGTGGACTCCGTGCTTTTTAACTCCAGCGCGGCTCTTCTCGTGGAGTTTTACGCGACCTGGTGCGGACACTGCGTCGCGTTCTCACCCACCTGGAAAAACCTCGCCAGAGATATTAAAGGTTAGTTTGCTCCATATTTCCACATCGTGAAGATATACTGTCTCACAGTTAACAGCTGTTCGTGACCTGCAGCGTCTATGCAAAACTGCTGGACTTCCGTTACAGGATCATTTACCATGGTAACCTGTTTCCCCCGAAACTTAGTTACTGTTATGGCTACTACACTAGCTCTGTGGTATTGTAATTGGTATTTGCCACAGCTGTTGTCAAAAATAAATCAACACAATGGCAATAAGCGTCTACAAGTTTTAAAGGATATTTTAAATATATTTATTGCTGTTTTACATTAGTTACAAGTGATTTTTGGTACCATAGTGATTTTTGTGAGGGGTTTTATCCTAACTCTTACGCAAAACATTTAATTCTGTGTGTGCAAACTGTTTTCAGAAACCTTCTACCTGCATTAAAGTTAAAGTAAGCTCAGTGATGATGACTAATTTACATACAGATGAGTTTTATTAGTGGTCAATGGATAGTTACAAACACATAGCCAACTGAGAAAAGCTGGTAGACAGCTGCTAACTAGGTTACACAATGAGTAGTGAGCTGCCTACTTTGTACAACGGTATTGACATAAACAAACAAGCAATGTCTCAAAACCCAAGCAGCCCACCAAATGAACTAGTGACCGGTCTGCCAACTGAGCTACCTAGTAAGCCTAAATAGTGATTTAGTGCGTTACCTACCATGTCAGATTATTTGGTCTACCAAGTGAGACTGCCTAGTGAAATAGTGAGCTGTCTACCTGGACAGCTTTTATGGGCATCATTGGTGCATTTCGAGTTAATTTTGCTACTTACAAATGCAGGCAGTTCATTTAGGTTTTGAGACACAACCACTTTAAAGTGCACATATATTTTTTCCTCTTGTGTAGCTCTAGGTTTGAGGTTTTTAAGTTGCCTCATTTAGGTTGACAGTATCACTTGTTCATCAAAAGCACACTCTTTTGACACCTGGAAGTCTCCTTTGTGAAAGGTTAATGGAGCATATGTTGTGAATGAGAACACAGTATCTTCAGTGTAGATCAGAAACACTGCTTGGTCATGTTGTGCCAGATGCTCTTTGACATGGTGTTGACATTGTATTTGCACAGACAGATGTTTGATGTTTTTAACCATGGACTCCTTACCGTCATAACACAAACTTTGCAACATGCAACTGAAATCCATTTGCAAAAACACTATCGATCCCATTCTGTGCATTGATTCAGTTTCGTAAACTCTGCATTCTGTGTTGTGTTGCTGTTGTAGAATGGAAGCCTGCTGTTGATCTGGCTGCTATTGATTGTGCTGATGAAAGCAACAGAAAAGTGTGCACCAATTTCGGCATTACCGGATATCCCGCTCTGAAGGTAGTGTGCAATTTAGAGAGCATGCAATTATTGTTGTGGTTGTTTATAATTATAGTTCAACGATTGTTTCCCTGTAGGAAAGAAAACCCACAAATGTTTTTAATTTCTCAGTCGTAGCAACTAGCAAGCAATGTGATTAAATGGAAACTTTTCCTCCTAAGAAACAAACCCCAGTAATTTCACCTCCAGAGTTTCAGAAGAGATCTCAACAATTTGTGATGAGATTCTGCAATAACAAATCTGAGATTTAAATTATGAATGGAAACATGTTCCATTGAATTCTAATTTATTTCTCATTAATTCATATTATGTAAAATAACATTTTATAGTATATATACTACCATTCAAAAGTTTGGGGTTCTTAATTAATTTTTTTTTGTCACCAAGGATGCATTAAATTGATCAAAAGTGACACTAAATATGTTTATAAATATTTCTATTTGAAATAAATGCTGTTCATGTGAACTTTCTATTTATCAAAGAGGCCTGTACTATTAAGCAGCACAACCGTTTTTAACTTTGGTAATAATGAGAAACGTTTCTTGAGCACCAGATCAGCATAGAATGATTTCTGAAGGGTCATGTGACACTGAAGACTGGAGTAATGGCTGATGAAAATTCAGATTTACCATCACATGAATAAATTGCATAAAAAAATATTCAAATAAAAAAGTTTTTTTATGGTAATAATATTTCACACTATTTTACCATGTATATATAATCAAATAAATGCACCCTTGGTAAGCATAAGAATCTTTAACAAATCAAGATCAAACTTTTGAACGGTAGTGATATTTCATAATTTTCTGTTTTATGCGATGTTTATTTTATACAACTGGAATTGAAACATTTAAGAAAAAGCTAATACTTAGATGAAATGTCCTCTGAGCTCTGAAAATGCAAGCAACACCTGAGCAATACAATTTTATCTTCCGAATAACCCTATGTGCAGGATCAGCAGTAAAAAAGTATTATACAGTTAATTTAGTAAATTTGTGTGTGTAGTCAAATTGGCCATAAATGGAAATAAAGATAAGAAATCATCTTTAAAAATGGTTGACTGCATTTATTGGTCCTTGTTTGTGAAATATGAGGAGAAAAAAAATTGTATGTATTTTTCATAAAACCATTCTTATGTAAATTGTTGATGCAGTGACAAATGATTTACAGGTAAATTCATTCTGCTTGTGTTTCATGAATGAGGCCCTCTGCTGAGCACAAAAAGCATGACTTGTGAGTTTTTTCCACAGATGAATCCATTTTATTCATGAATAACTGTTCTTTGTTCAGTCATGCACTATGGGTACAGGCTATGCTGAAGCCAGAGGGACGAACTGATGTAACTGAATCTGTCAGTTCTTTGTCCTTTCTCTACATAAACATTTAACTGTTGCATTCCTTGAATTATTATACTGCATCAGTTTCCTTCAAGGAAACATTCTGAAACTCATCACCAGATGTTCCTTCGCTATTTGGGTGTTTTTTGTATCTGGATTTTGTTAGTCTAGTTGTGTGTTCTTGTCTTGTAAAATAAAGTCTTATGAAGGGACAGAGTGAAATTCTTCCACAGCTTTGATGCATTTTAAGGGGGTAAGAGAAAGAGCTGTTGACTAAAGCTGTCAATTAGGCTCTGCAGGCATGCAACTGATGTGAAGGGCTCAAGTAGCATCGTTACTGATCTCCCTCTGTCTTTCTCAGTTCTTCCCTGCTTATTCAAGC